TGCACGCTGATTGTCATGACAACAAAAAAGTTTAAGTGTGATGCAGTGCAGACCTTACTTGCTTGTATACAGTACCAGCTGACAACTCTCCAAACTCGAAAGGCAAGATGGAAAAAATAAAATATTCACAGGTCTGTTCTGAGTGGTTATATTGCATCTGTTAGAGATTATAGGTGTTATGTTTATATCCCTAGACTTGTTCAAATCACAGAAAGAGAGCTGGGTTTATAGAAGGCAAAAAATAGAACAGTGTTTATTAGATTATGAATACCGTCATGCTGCAATATGATTCATATAAAGTACAGCATAATGAAAGAGTTCTTGGTTCACTTGATCTCTGGCTATATGACCTGGACCGACCTTTTGTGGTCTCATAATTTTTCACTGCAGCGTTAACAGCGCCCAATATAATGAAGTGCAGTAATGTGCATGTGCAACAACATTCTCTTTTAAACCATATATACTGTGGTGTGTGTGTGTGTGTGGTATATATATATATATATATATATATAATTTTTAAAAAAAAGTTGAGAAACAACCTGAGCAGTACAGGGAGGAAGTGATGTGAGAAATACAATGAAACACCTTACGAAAGAAAAACATTGTGTTCCTTACACAGCTGTCTAAAACTAAATAAAAACTCACAAAAGTAAATACCCTCTAGACTTCACACAGCATGACCTCAGTACATCACACATCTGAGGGAGAGAAGTAGCGTTTGAGTCACTTTAACAAGTATCTTTGTGTTACATTCTGACTTCCAGGTATCCAGTCAGGATTTGAAATTAGATTTGTAAAGGTTATGCAAGGCAGCGTGGAACTACAAAGTTTGTCTATTAAGTTGTGTGAGGTATTGCAAAACTGCACAGAGGGCGAAACTGGGGCAAGCTGTCACACTTTTTACTCCAGTCAATATTTTTCAGGGTTTGCTTTTTGCATACATACCTTAGTCTTGAATTAATTATTAAATTCATATTTAGCTTATGTGACTATATGCCCTAAAGCAGGGCTATTATATGCTTTTCATCAGAATTTAAACATTAAATTCATGAAATGATTGTTGTGGAAAACTTTTTTTTTAAAATTGTAATCAACTACAAACATGTGACAACTTGCCCCTACTAGACATTTATCTCTAAATCAAACACAAGTGTGTTTGTGTGAACTTTGCCATACACTCTTAAAGGTTCTCCATTGGCATCAATGCCAATATGGAGTCTTTCAATTTCACAAAAGGTTCTTTATAGTTCTTTAGATTCTTCACATTTAGGAAAAAAATGGTTCTTTTAAGAACTGTTTTTTGAAACATTCTTTGGAGAACCTGAAAAATGTTTCTTCTATGGCATTGCTTTGAAAACCCCTTTTTTTGGATACTTTTAAAGGGGTCATATGATGCAATTTCAAATTTTCCTTTCTCTTTGGAGTGTTACAAGCTCTTGGTGCATAAAGAAGATCTGTAAAGTTGCAAAGACTAAAGTCTCAAATCCAAAGAGATATTCTTTATAAAAGTTAAAGGGGTCATATGATGCTGCTAAAAAGAACATTATTTTGTGTATTTGGTGTAATGAAATGTGTTTATGCGGTTTAAAGTTAAAAAAACACATTATTCTGTGGATCACCGGATCGGCTTTCACCGTGGACGAAGCGGAGTCCAGCCCGGGGTCGTCACATGTGGTTGCCGCAAATCACAAATGCAGACATGGTTTTATGTTTAGCAATCACAACGCACTGGATAGCTGGCCAATCACAGCACACCTCGCTTTTCAGACCGATGAGCTTTGTAAAAATCGACGCGTTTCAGAAAGGCGGGGCATAGAGGAGAAACAATAATGTACAGTATGTGGAAAATAATGTGTTTTTTGAACCTTAAACCGCATAAACACATTTAATTGCATCAAATACACAAAATAATGTTCTTTTTAGCAACATCATATGACCCCTTTAAGAGTGTAAGTAAGCATCTGAAAGTTTTCCATGGCTTCCAATTGTGCCATTACCATGTCTTTCATTGTCTGTTTGGCCTTGGCCTCCTCATTTTCCATCTTCTCATAGATTCACTCAATGATCTCCAGTAGCAGTAAAAGCAGAGGAAGATTCAGATTCTCCTCCGCCGACTCAACAGACACGAAACATGCTAAATGCGGACCATGACTAAACAGCATTTGGGGAAATAAACTGCTGGGTTTTGAATATGTGGGATGAGTAATAACAGAACTTTTCCACCGATGCGTGGTGACCCTTGAGATTGTGTAGGCCATATTGAGTTTCACATGTTACTGTTGAGGGAACACAGGAAGCTGTAATTGAGGGCGTATTGAAGGTGTTCAGTGGATCACAGTGTGCAATATAATGAGGTTGAGTCATGGACGTTTCAAAGGGCTTTATTTGTACAACTGCCATGACTAAACCAAGGCATTATTCTTGAGTTATAAAACGATTTATAGCGGTTAAATTTTTATTTATCACAGGCAGCAAAAAATGTCTCTCACCACAGGTTTGTTTCCTGTTTTTTTTTTTGTCCTGATGGGACTTTCTTCCCTCCTCCGATTGGTTTTAAATAGAGTAAAGCAAGTCTTCTGCTGCCTGGCCTTGTCCTTCTGGTCTTTTTTATTTCCCCCTAGTCTTTTCTGCCTCTGTTTCTTTGTTGAATATTCTTCAGTTCTTTCAGTCAACTGCATTTCACAGAGGACATTTATGTTCTGTTATCTCGGGCACCAGGTTAATTACTGCTAATGTGACATTGGCAATGGCATAACACGTATGCAAATGATGCCACGCTGACCTTTTGTCTATGCCTCAATCAGTGTTGTGTTGGTGCATGTGATGCTTGTGATTTTCAAATTGTTGGCTTCTTAAAGGTATAGTTCACCAAAATCTGTCATTATTGACTCACCATGTTATTCCAGATTAGCAATGCCAGGAGGGGTCTTCAAATTAAAAGTACTGGAGGGGAGAAAAAAAAAAGTTTTTACATTTTAGCCATCATTGTAGTACACTTCTAGGCAGGATAAACTATGCTCTCTCCAAAACTCTCAGCCAGCAATATCAAGTCCATGCATGCAGAACTGTAGAGGAGTGAGTCATTGCTCATGTTCAGCCTAGAAATGGTCCGATCAGGTTAAAAAAAAGTGCCCAAAGTTAAACTTTATGGTTGAACTGCTCAGCCACGTTCCCCTATTCTCTGGCGTGTGATTAGAATGTTCACTGTGGACCTCTGGCTTTTTTGTTCACACAGCACGACTGCTGCTGCCGCTATTGTTACAGGTGCTTTTCCGCTCGACTGGTCTCGTTTCTCTCTTGTGGACTGAGAACGACAGTGACATGCCCCCACCCATAACGAATGCACGAGAGATGTTTCTGCCTGGCGCCTCTCTCCTCGTTTCCTTCCTCGCTTTTTAAATCAATATTTGAGTGGGAGGTGGGCCCCACGTTCGCCACCACATATCTCTGGGGAGCAGGAGGCACTATGGCCGGTGGTCTTGGTTTGGGTTTTAAAGGAAGGGATCAGACGGAGCAGGGCACAGACACTAAATCAATGGCCTTATCCAAACCCCTCGCTCCGCATGAGGAGAAAGCAGAATTTCTATCAGGAGATTATATTTGTTCACCAGCTTCTGACCCGTTGGCCCCTTTTTCCCTTCTATCTTCCATCCAGCTCAGAACTGCAAATAATGTACAGCCAGGCTCAAGTTTTCAATGTCTTTAATTCTCTCACTGTTGCCTCCTTTCCGGTCTTTTTTGGGCCATGTTTCCTCCTTTTTCACCCCCCATTCCAGAGATGGATTATGACATTGACGTACCCAGGGCACGGATGTCTCAGGGGCTCTTCACATAGGAAGCATTCTAGCGTTAAGAAATTGGCTAGATGGAGGAATAGAAGTGAACCAAAGGCGCGCTTATGGGTGCATGAAATCCCATACAGCATTTATCCCACCCCTAGATTGCTTTGATTGGTCAATGGTTTAAAATAGACATTATGTGCAACATATCACATTTTTTACTTGCAAGCACCTAAACTTGATATTGCTGTGTTATTTGGCATAAAACAGTGCATATTTTAAACATAAGCTACAAAACAGGGATGGGCAAATTTCGGAATTAAAGATTTGGCTTCTTTTCAATACATGAATGTAAATTTGAATCAAATTGCCTGTACAGTTTCAGTTTGGATCACCATGACAGGAAGAGGAATTGTTTGTCAATTCAAAGAAATGTAAGGTAAAGCATCTGTCTGTATACTCTATATATCTTATAAAACTTCAAGGCTTTTTAAGCTCTAAAACTTTTTGTCAAGCCAATATTCAAAATTTGAAAAACTTTGCACATCTAGTTATGAATTACTTTGAATTTCAGTTAATTTTAAGTTTATTTCCATTTAAATTTTAATTGCAATTCTGCATCTGGTTTGCCACGCCAATTCAAATTTCTCAATTAAAATCTGAATCACAACCCTGAAATCTAGTAAATATGATCCGTTACTGTAACCCTTATGCAAATGCTAGACAGTACTGTGGATTGGTATCTTTCTTCCCTTTTATGTATGCAATCATAAATATTACCCTCTATAAACCCAATTTATGCAATCTTGATTTCTTCTGCTCTATTAATACATTCGGTACAGCAAACCTCTCAGTGCGCTGTGCTACCTTTCCTCCGTTTGAGTTGCTGTCTCTGTACACAACGTCTAATCCTTTGCTTCTCCTCCGGGGCGGCAGATTGACTCCTGCCTGGAGCCTAAAGCCTTCCTGACATCATCTGAGCTCTGCAGTCATGACACACATTCCCTCACTGCACAGTGCTGTTCCTCTGCCGCACAGTCATTAATATTGATTTACTTAATTGGTTGAGCCTAATCCATCCAATAGGGCTGTAAACCTAGCCCAGCTTGGAGAGCATTGCAGCTTGGGATAGTTGATGAATCATTTTGAATCGTCTTCTGTGGTTTGTAAAGTATGATTACCTGTCTTTTCACCCTTCTCACTCTTCTCCCTCTCTTTCAGACATTCCACACAGCAGCAAACCAATAAAGTCATAACAAGCACAAGCCAACTTGTTAAACAACTCACTGACATCATCAGCGGGTCTTCACGGGTAAAATAAATCTTCTCTGCATCTCTCATTTTTCTTTCTTTGCTGGAACAATCATTCTTATATAAGTATAGCCAGTGATGGTGGTTTATATCATGAAGCATTCCACTGGCATTTGTACTGACAAAAATAAAATGTTGTCACGGTAAAGTTACTTTATGGCGATGTTAAACTGAACCAACGTTCATTTTAAAATCATGCTATTTTGTTTCCTCACAGCAAGACAGGCTCCGTCTGACAAGACTCAAAACAGAGCTATCCGATTCTGTGCAGCGTTATGGAGACCTGCAGAAGGTACACATGAAACACTGGCTTTCCTTTATTTGTCCACAAAATAACAAACGTGATTAGGGCTGTACAGTTTTCTGCAACAGCTGTCAATCTTGATATTAGAAATAATGCAAATTAATATTACTCAATAGGTACTTTTTTCTTTTAGCTATAAAGAAAAATAAATGTGTTGTATAAACAATTTTCACTCAAAAATTGCTAGCAAATTTTACAAACAATTCCAAACAAACAGCAAGTAACTAATTGATTTAAACATGAAATTTTGAAGTAGAAAAACTTAAATAGTATCTTCTTGTAAAACATACTCCAATAATCTTTGTTTTATCGCGAAAAAAGACAATAGATCCCATTATAATCAGTGATGATGTCTACAGTGGATGCGACGTAACACGGCAAGCCCTTGAGAGTAAACTGATGCCTCTTTCTATTTATGACGTACTAACACAAAGTACAAAGGTGCATTCCGATTGACAGGGTCCCTACGCAGTGTTCACTGCTCCCTACTCACTTAGCATGGGATATCCATTGAAGTGGACTTCGCTGACAATAATCGCTCATTTGGAACGCCCTAGAATGTCATCAAAGAAAGGCAACGTAGTCACGCAGATTATGATATAACAAATATTTTAATTTATTTTACTTTCAAATTTAAATATATGTAAAATACCTATATAATTGTGTATCTAATTAATATATTCAAAAGTTATGTTTAGACTTAACAGATTGTAGAAGTCTAATCTTGTGCGCTTTCTTTCCCACGCGATTTAACTTAGTTCCACCTAATCATACAATACAATATGCAAATGTAACATTCATTGCCATAACCATTCATAAATACTCTAGTTCAGGGGTGTCCAAACTCGGTCCTGGAGGGCCGGTGTCCTGAAGAGTTTAGCTCCAACCCCAATTAAACACACCTGAACCAGCTAATCAAGCTCTTCCTAGGCATACTGGAAATTTAAAGGCAGGTGTGTTGTGGCAAGTTGGAGCTAAACTCTGCAGGACACCGGCCCTCCAGGACCGTGTTTGGGCAGCCCTGCTCTAGTTTGTATAGTAATAGCAACATTTTTGCAACCCCTCCATTGCAGAGCCTTTAAAAAAAACGCTTTCAATGGCTCTGCTCAATCGTTACTTCTAACTGGTGACGCGGTGTGCAATGACAGTTGGGTGATTCTCCACATTCTGTGAAGTGATGTATCGATGTTCCCTTATTCCCTATGCTGTTCGCAATGCCCTTTGAACTGAACAAGTTCACTCCCTTCGGATTGGAATCTCACTTAAGAAGGCGGATGTTCTTGTGAAGTCCACTTCGCAGTCCACTTACGGTTGAATGGAACGCACCTCAAATGATTTGTAATTGTCGTTTTGTCGTCCAGTGTAGACAGACTTTAGCTGTTGTGGCACGTCATGACATGACAAATGCCATGTCCAGCATAGACACAGTGTAAGATGTTTTCTTACATTGAAAAAATTTTAATTAGTTAAAATTGCCTCCATCCTCACAAGATAAAATTGTGTATTTTAGTTTCCAGCAACAGTGAGCATATATAAAAAAGTAGTTGTTATCATAATTTTGGACAGAAATACGATACTCAAAATAGGTTTTATATCTCAAAATGTTTTTTTCTCACAAAGTGAAGCAATTGCACTTTTTTTTTCCTGCCAGAGAAATAACCCTATTGATCATGTGCTGTACAACTGCATGTTGTAAGAAATTTAGTTTTAAAATAGTCCCCAGTCTCCTCGACTATATGTGTGCAGCCCATTCATGCAGCAATAATGTAAACCGGTGAAAAAAGAATTCACTGAACTTCTTTTTAGCTCAGCTGCTGTCACATGTCTGGCTGTATTTGCATATTAATGTAATTTTTTTTCTTTTCAATGACAGAAAATTGCAGATCGTTCGAGGGCCTTGCTTCCTCCTGCACAAAAGGACAGGAAACAGGTGAGTGGGCTTCAATATCTCAGTCCAGAGAGAGTCCACTTCTTCATCTTTGTTCTTTCATGAGCGATATTGTGACACTTAACCTGTCATGCCACACACAAATTTATCATTTGACTTGTATTTTAAAGTACACTTTTTTCTTTTGTATACTTCTATGGAGTATAATTTTTTTTTTTTGTCATCTTGGACCCCATTCACTTTTATATGGAAGACTGAGTGTACAGTGAGTGATTTTTTTTTTTTTTTTAATTTTCATGTTCCAGTATGAAGTAAGTCATATAGGTTTGTAGTGACGGGAAAATGATGACAGAATTGTCGTTTTATTTAAGTAAACTATTCCTTTAACCCCAAATTTCTCCAGAACAAGTGATATCTTAAATTGTGTTTCAGTGTGAGAACAAAAAGAAAACATCTTGTGGAGAAGAAACAAGACGGCTTTAGAATGACCACAGATGACAGTCCTAGTGATGTTTACTCTCAATGGAGGAGTTTCATTTGATGAAACGCACTAAAACTGACATCTCCATCACCACAGCTTTTTTTTTCCAGATTCCATCAAACTTAAATTTTCAGTTCATCTGAGTTGGCTCAAGGATGTAAACCAGTGAAAAAAGAATCCACTGAACTTCTCCTTAGCTCAGCTGCTGTCACATGTCTGGCTGTATTTGCATATTAATGTAATTTTTTTTCTTTTCAATGACAGAAAATTGCAGATCGTTCGAGGGCCTTGCTTCCTCCTGCACAAAAGGACAGGAAACAGGTGAGTGGGCTTCAATATCTCAGTCCAGAGAGAGTCCACTTCTTCATCTTTGTTCTTTCATGAGCTCTTCGACATCCCTGTGACAGTAAGATAAAGAGTGTGACTGCCTGTGTGATTGCATGTGGATGAGGAGCTCTTTGATGCCCCTCTTTTCTCACCACTTCATTTTCTAGCAGGTCAGATATTGACTGTCAGAACTTCATGACACTTACAAACCTCAGTCCTCATATTAAGTTTGTTTGGAACCACTACGCTTGTGGTACAGAACGTGGAGCCCTGGCAATCAGAATGTGGTCAAAGATCAGGACTGGTAGGAATATAGATCCACAAGAGGAGATACATAACCTAAATCCTTCATGCAAGACACTTAAAAGGAAAAATTCAGGCAAAAATGAAAATTCTGTCATCATTAACTCACTCTCATGTCATTCTAAAGATGCATTTCTTTCCAAAGACGTTTCTTTCTTCCATGGAATATGAAATATTAAATTTTTTTTTTTAAATTTTCATGTTCCAGTATGAAGTAAGTCATATAGGTTTGTAGTGACGGGAAAATGATGACAGAATTGTCGTTTTATTTAAGTAAACTATTCCTTTAACCCCAAATTTCTCCAGAACAAGTGATATCTTAAATTGTGTTTCAGTGTGAGAACAAAAAGAAAACATCTTGTGGAGAAGAAACAAGACGGCTTTAGAATGACCACAGATGACAGTCCTAGTGATGTTTACTCTCAATGGAGGAGTTTCATTTGATGAAACGCACTAAAACTGACATCTCCATCACCACAGCTTTTTTTTTCCAGATTCCATCAAACTTAAATTTTCAGTTCATCTGAGTTGGCTCAAGGATGTACTGATGATTGAAAGTGCTGACTGAATGATAGGAATTGTGTTCAATATTACCTGCAGTACAACAGCAGCTCAGATTGGCTCAGCTGGTATGTGACTATAGAGTCTTACAGTCTCAGGTCTGTTAAAATCCTCTGTTATTCTATTCCCTTCCCTCCTGTTGCTCTCTAGAGATGATGCTTTTATGTGAGACTGGCACCTGCGGCAATATCTCTGATCTTCCGTCTCCTTCCACAATCCCCCCTGGAAACACCCGACCAGAGCAATCAAACAGGATGTGTAGTTCTAATAAGAACGCCAAGAACACATCCAAAACAAACAACATATTGAGTTGTTAGACAAGAGTAAGACGTTATTAAGGAGTTGTTTGAACGCCAGGTTCTGCCGGAGTCTTTTTTTTTTTTCGCCTGAGCTCAGAAGAGAACAGGGTTTGTTATCAGCACTGCCAATCTGTAAGATGATTCATGAATGTGACTCACTATTATGAACGGAAAAATCACAGCGGTATAGGCTTTTATTAAAGTACTCATGAAAATCATATGTTTAAATTAAATTCTCAACCTCAAGTGTAATTTGTTATAGGCTCACTTCCCATTGCGTTGAATAAAAATAATAACAATGCGCTAATTGGTATGGGAGTCTGTTTCTACAAATAAGTGATTCATTTCTTTCTTTCTTTCTTTCTTTCTTTCTTTCAGCAATTTGGACTCTTTATATCTTAAACTTTATCTGAGGCATAATTACCTGAGGCAGAAACAGGCTTCCATAGCTTGAGCACTAAGACAAAACAGAATACAGACAAACTAACTTTATGTTAAAGGAATTACTTAGCATCGATCTGTTAAATGTGATCAGTGTTATTCATTTAAGTTTGGGTGCAAGCTCTTGCTCTTTCCATTTTCACACTTTCAGAAGTCAGAAAGTGCTTTATTACCATGTTTACACACACAAGCACTGTAAAAAATTAAAAATTACAAACCGGTCAAATGACTGGCAGCTACGACTGCCAAACAAAAATTGTCAAATTAAAGTAAAATATCGTAATTGAAACATGGAAAAATCTGTAAAATAAGGGTTTTACACTGTAAAAAAAAAAAAGTTCCTTAAAAAAACAGTCAAATGACTGGCAGCTATGGCTGCCAAACAAAAACCGTAAAATTAAAGTAAAATATCATAATTGAAACAAAGAAAAAATTGTAAAATAACATTTTTTTTCTGTAAAACCTTTAATGAAAATGTCTGTAAAATTATTGTTTTTGCACGTTATTTCATTTAATATTTTACTGTATTTTTACAGCTTTTGTTCGGCAGTCGTTTGACCGGTTTTTTTTTCACAATTTTTTATTAATTTTTTTACAGTGAAGAATTTGACTTTGGCGACGAGAGCTTCCAGTGCAAAAGAAAGTGCACACATAGTGCAAACATATATGATAGTGCAGACATACATAGAATTACACAGTAGAGATGAAATATAGCACTAATATAAGAAAAATAGAAAATTAAATAATGCACTATATACAGAAGTAGAAATATAGAGAAAAAACATATAATTGTTTAAATGAATGTACAGATATTTTATTTACAAGTGTTCCGTTTATGTAGTTTACAATGTTAAATTTCCAAATGTTCTGTATAAATGTGCCAGTTATGATGGACAGTGTATAGTTACGAACTTTTCAATTGTTCAGGCTGATTTCATAGCATCCCTCAATATTGGTCAACATACAGAAATAATTGTTTAACACTAGTTGCGCTAATTTAGGTCTGGAACTCTTAACGTGAGAGTCACCACTTCTACAGCAGCAAACCATACGCTACGAATTAGAGAAGAAATGTGATTGTCTTTCTCACTTGTTTAACCTTTTGCTCTTCTGACAAAAGAAAAAAAAAGTTAGAAATATCCTGAGATCTATCAATTCAAGAGAAGAGCGGGATCAGGATGCTCTGTCTTTGGATTGATTGGCGGAAAAAAATGGCTCCACTGATGTAAATAACTTGCTCTTTGCTATAATTAAACAATCGCTCACCTTCAAACACTCAAAGACTGCTGACTTATATTTGAACAAACTTTATAAAAAATGTATTAAAGTTACTGCGAAATGAGTGCAAGTCTTCAAATCAGAGGTACATTACATAATAGCACTTATCCTCCAGAGAATTTAGATTACTGAGACATTTCTTAATAAATGTCGTAAACTGGGAATATCCCATCTTGAATGAATCATGCTGATCCTTTGACTTGGATCTGTTGACTTTATAGCAGACCCCTCTCTGTTTCTCATAGGGAATCACGTATGAACACGTCTTGTAACCCGAATATTGTGAGGAAATTCAAAGCTCATTTTATTAGTTTACTGTATGAAGTCTAAATTTGAAATAAGGTTTAAATAAGCCTATTTACATTTTTTTAAGGAATATAATGTTAATGGGCTTATTTTTAATGAGGTATAGTTCATTAAAATTCAGAATATAATACACTTTTAGACTAAATTGCAGGGCAAATTATGCATCCGAGATACAGATACAGATTAAAGGATAATTTATGTTGTACATCTTGTCAGTAGATGAAAAAAAACTCCAACTACAAGCCACTCTATGACCTAATAAACAATGATATCCTCAGTGAGTGGGACGTCAACAACCGCGCAAAGAAAGTGATGTTCTCAGAGTGGCATTGTGCTGAACCGAGATGTATTGGATGTGCTAATTCTGAGAGGGAAGAATACAATGAGTCATCCAACACATTGCAAAAAATAATAGCACGCCTCGGGCCTTTATCGATGTCATGCATATGCAAGTTAAGAAATTAGCAGATCAATGTGGCTCTCTCTAAGTGACCAACTCCCACCTCTTCAACCTTCAGACTGACAGAGAGTTCAACCTAAATGACTAACAAAGGCGGCAGGCGCTTCCTTTGCGATTCTTTTGCTGCAGTATGAGGTGGCGAGTCATTATCATTGTATTATATTCTCCACAGCCGTGAAATGTCAGTGCTTTGCTATTATATAAGATGTTTACAAATGGATCTCAAGGAAAGTTGTCTCACTTCTAATATAAAAGTTTCACCAAAGTCAGGTCCTACGTCTGTAAGCATCTGCAATGCTCTGATCCTCTGATGATCTGAGCAGAGGCGGTTCTGGGGTCAGTGAGTATTCAGGGCATGCGCATGGAATCATCCTTTGATTAAATACTGCTATGGTACACTTTAAAATGAATGTTAGAATAACTGCGAGGAATAATTTTAATGAAGTAGCTGTCCAGAGATAAACGTACGAAGGTCGACTGACCTTAAGGCCCCTATGTACTTCAAGCGAAACCGAAGAACAAACTGGTGTGGTGTAATTTTAAACAAAATCAGGCCAAAATGAAGTTTGTTTGAAACAGCTTGCCAAAGCAAACTTTCCAGAAAAGTTTGCTCCAGCTGGTAAACATCTTTAAACTACCATTGGTCTACCATTTGCGAGGACATTTCCTGTTGAGGTCAGACATCTGCGAGTAAAAACATGAACACAATGGAGAGCTGTTTTATAGTAGAAATTGTAGTAGAAGTTGATATTGAAAGTGACACTGACACTGTTTTTTTTTCATGTTTACTAAAGCTGTTAAAGCAGCTTTACAGTGTGTGTGTGTGTGTGTGTGTGTGTGTGTGTGTGTGTGTGTGTGTTTATAGCTTATCTATTGATGAATATGAGCATTGTATGTACTCTTAAAAAGTTGAAGAAATATTATCTCTCTTTTTGTATGTGTGTGTATTTGTGTTTGTGTGTGGATAGAGCCTACAGACTCCATTCAGTGAACTGGTTGAAGAGGGGCCATTGTTCGGAGCGGGGGAAAGCGTTGAGGGTGATGGTCAAGCATTCCTGTCAGAGATCAGTGAAGAAGATGTGGAGATCCTGAGGCAGAGAGAAGAAGCACTGCTGCAGATTGAGGTAGGAGCTCAATAGCCACACCCACTGAATATCTAATTGCATTAATAAGCCACGCCCAACCCTCTCAGCTTATCATTATTAATAAGCATTTATTTTCCTCATTGGGAGAAATTTGAATGCACATTACCATTCAAATGTTTGGGGTCGGTTTGATTTTTTTTTTTTTTCAAATCTTTTTATATTCTAAATATCGATTTTACTCACCAAGGCTGCTTTTTTTTAATGCAAAATACCATAAAAACTGTAATGTTTTGAAATATTTTTACAATTTAAAAGAACTGTTTTAAAAAGTAATTGATTCCTGTGATGCAAATCTGAATTTTCAGCAGCCATTACTCCAGTCTTCAGTGTCACATGAGCCTTCAGAAATCATTCTAATGTACTGTTATATATTTAATAGCTACAAAAGCATTATATCAGGATCAGTTGATTTTTTTTTAGAGCCCTAGAATTTTTTTTATTTTTGTCATCTATCCATACAATCATCGGTGCCCTGCACTGTCCTTTCATTCCAGATTTTAGACACTCTTGAAAAGAACAAACATTGTCGTTGGAAAGAACAGCGTTGCATCACTTACATTTCCATACAAACAGAACCCTCAGGTCTGCATTCTTTCTGTACTCGCCATCATCTTTAGCAGCTGTCTTTTTTACCAAAGCTTTCAGGGCAATTTTCCTGAGACTCAATAGTTCGGTTTATTCTGCTGTCTAGTCACAAGCACACAAGCAGAAGGCTTTTCATACACCACTGAAAAACAGCATCACATTGCTCCACTGAAGTATGTCTCGTCTGTAGCAAAACAGCTGTTTTTCTCCAGATGTGCATTTGCACAGATGCGAACATGCGATGATGGGGTCATTCTGTTGTTCTTTGACATCAGTTTGGGCCAATTTCAAAGCCATTTGTTTTGGACGTGCACCGTGTGCTAGTTTTCTTTGATGGAGGGTGTTCAAAGACAAATATGAAAATTAAATAAATGTCAGCCCGTCGTAATTATCGACAAAGCTGGAGGGAAAGCGAATCGCACAGATGGCGTATCAAAACAAATGGCTCTTTCTTGTTTGAAAAGCAGGGAGTTGAGAAACGAGAGGGGCCACACGTCCTAATGACCGATGACAACCTCGAGAAAGCCTTGAAATGAAGACATATGGCTTTTCCCTCTTGAAGACCTGTCTGAAGTTCATAGACGCTCACTTGCTACCGCAACTACTGCATCTGGCTAACAGACAGGCATCAAACAATCCCACATCCCGAAGCCCTCTTAATAAATTCACATTCATCACACGGACAAAACCTGAAAGGCTCAAACAAAACCGACAGCTTATTTTAGTCACAGAGAAATTGGAGGTTTTTTCAGGTGATCAGAAGGGTATTGAGGATGAGTCGGTGCTCCGAGAGCTCTGACGCAGGTTCTGGAGATGTCTCTGGCCCCGGGCCCAACCGAGCTGATCATATCTGACAGTGTGCTTTTCCTGTCTAGCATCTTCCCGCCTTCCCAACCCCCCAAACCTCCAGCCTTCCCCGCACCACCTCCTCACGCAACTCTGCTCAAGTGAATCACCAGCATTTGCAGCCCTTTCTGAGCCCTGCTCTCTCTCTCGCTTTCATCTATCTCTCTCTCTCCTGTTCACTGTTAGATGGGTTCCCGAGGGAAATGGAGAAGATGGAATGTCTGTTATCCGTGTAAAGTACAATCAGTCCCCCCCCCCCTCGTTCTCTCTATCTCTCTCCAAAAGCTGATCTGTCCTCCTGAGTATAGTTCGCATTTACTCTAGCGGCTTGTGTGTTCAGGCGAACCCTTCTTCGGAGAACCGTGCAAAGGGACGGACACGCACATACAAGCCCGAAAGAGGACTGGGGGTGGGGGGGGCTTGGTTATTCCACATGCCGTTGTGGATTCTCCGTCTTGATTTTCTATGAGGCGACCCACAAGGGTAATGAACTGTACCTCTGGGATGACTAATTAGATTTGGATTCACCCTATATTACAGTGAAACGACAGACACATTTGAAGGGAGGAGCAAGGCTCCGCCCTCCACCGTTTACCCCAGATGCACCTCGCTGACACTTTGGCACCGGCCATCATTTCATCAAAATGAATTTGTGAAAAAAAAAAAGAAAACATAAGGCATGACAAAGGACAACTTTCAAGGGGAATCTGAATGCAACACCTGGCCCATCAAGAAGAAAAAAATACAGACACGTGTCTCACCTGCAAATGCGTCCAGTGCATCCCTTTTGCCCTTCAGTGAGAAATGGAAGTTAGTGGAGCTACAGTAAATGATGTAAATTGCAGACAAGCACTGCTGTAATCTGTTTGTGAATCTCTAGTCTAGTAAAACTCTTAACTTTAGATTGAAAAGCGTCTACTTATAAGATTCCATGTACATTTTACTAGAGACCAAATCTTTATGACAGAAAAGAGAGTTTTTTTTTTTTATTGTTTCTCCTACACAGCAATGAGATTGAATTGAGAGCAAAGTCTTCTGCTTCTCTGATGTTTCCACTCAGAAAACACCCTTATAATCTCTTATTTTGTCCCCAAATGTGTCTCTTTTAGAGTTTCCAAAGGGACCGTGGAGGTTTTAGTTTTGACTTGAGTGTTGTGCTGCTCATTTCTATTGGAGACATGTTGTTACTAATAGGTTACTGTTTTGCCATGCAGTGCTGTTTTAAAAAAATATTTTAGTTGAATATTTTTAGATATTTCAGCTGACAAGACCTTTAATTTTCACTTCAAGTTTCATCTAAAGTTTTTAAGTTAAAGTTTTAATCTAATGTTATATAAATTCAAAAATATATATTAAATATTATGATTTCCAACCTAAAGTATTTATACCATTACTAGGATATAAAATCATACTGATATAAGATTGTGGTCATAATTCCAAATTAATTTGTAACCAAACCAAGTCCTTTATTAAGCCTTTTAAGACAGGTAAAAGCACCATTTGTTTTCTTTATGGGCACAATGAATTGCATCTAAGGTGTTTGTGAGTGTCTGAGCATATACTGTAACTGTATGAACAGTATGTATGAGCACATGATGTTATCATGTGTTGCTGTAATTTGTTCTTGTGCCTTGTACATGTAAGTTGTTTTGATGGTGGCCAGTCAGAGTACATTGCATGCTTATCTACTTTGATACATCGAGGCAAAGACATTGTTATTCTTAACAAACAACCTGACCCTTGAGAGGACAACGACTCTATGGGGGTGCTTTCTCTCTCTCTCTCTCTCTCTCTCTCTCTCCCTCTCCCTCTCTCTCTCGTTTTCTTGCTCTCTCCCCCTCTCACTCACTCTGTTAACCCATAGCTCTGAGCTTGGAAAGACCCAAAGCCCTTACAACACATTTTCACACTTCCATATAGATGTATAATTGGGAATTGAGAACTATATGTTATTGAGAACTGGTAAACTAGCAAAAAACATTGAGCAACCCATTTAATTACCAAACAAATGACTCTATGAATATTTTCTTTTCAGAGAATCAAAAATTCTGAATTAATTAGACTCGCTTACTGAACTGCTAGTCATTTAGTCATGTCCGACTGCTGTAACAACATACTATACATAATGCAAATTGCCTAATCAGTTTAAAACATGGAAAAGCATTTACAAACTCTCTGTAAAGCATGGAGATTTCACTACATAGTAACTTCTAAGCATTTAATACTTGAGTATGCCCATAATGTGCTATTATTTCAGGAGCTCTGGTTTGGGTGAATTTATTTATTTACAAAACAATATTTTTAATTTTTAATATCTGGGAAAAGTTAGCACTTTAGTTCAAAGTATGCTCATTTTCTACATTATTAAAAAAAATCTACAGTATAGTTCTACATTATACTAAAATGCAACTTTAATGTAATTTTAGTTCGAGCAAATGGACTAAAATGAATGAAAGATGACAAAATGAGAGTAAATGTAAAGGATAGATTTTTTTTCAGTCATCACACACTAAAAGGTTTTTACGACCAAACTAAGAGGATCTTTCTGTTTTACATTTGCTGTATTGATTTGTTTTTTTCTGAAAGTAATTTCTATCCTTTTTTTAAACATTAATATCTGTCTTGCTTTCTTTAGTGTTTGCCATTGGCTTTATTGTGCATCCCTGTGATATGCCTCTGATTATTTTTTGTTGTTGTTTTTGTGTCACAATCAATAGCAAGTGCTGTTGAGCAACTCATATTCCAGTCCTCATCTAAAACAGGACATACACAACACTCCCCCTACCATCTCAGTTTTTTTTTATTTTCTTTTTCTGTGGATAAGAGGCACACACATAATTTGTGCCCTAAGACTGTGTGCTTTGAGTTTTGAGGTCCTTGGGCTTATATATTTAGAAGGTTCATATTATTAAGTTAATATTAATCATTATAATCATTATTATGTACCCATTGCATATCAGTTTTCCATATAGTTCACTATACTGCTAAAAGGTTTTTAAAAAATGCATTATGAATTATTAATATTAAAATATTTTAGTGACAGTAAAATATATGGATAATGGGTATACAACAACAATAATAATAATAATAATAATAATAATAATAATAATACAAAACAATAACAACAACAATAATAATAATAAGAAATGTAATTGTAGTAGTGTTATAGTAGTATTGCTTTTTAATGGTAGTAAAATTAATCTATTAGTAGTTATAATAATAGTAGTGGTAACACCTTATTTTAAGGACCAATTCTCACTATTTACTAGTTGCTTGTTAGCATGCATATTGCTAGCATATTGGCTGTTTATTAGTATTATTAGGTATATATTAATGCGGTCCCACTTTATATTAAGTGGCCCTAATACCTGTGTACTTTTGGGGGGGGTGGGTGGCCTGTAAGCGTGCGCGTAAATCTGCTTAACAGTTTTTCTGCTGTGGCACTGACACCACGTCCTGTTGCCCGTTGCCTTTTGGCCGGGGGTGTGGGGGTGGGTGATGTAGGGAGAATCTCATATCAGCGTTAAACACATTTATCTAGGCGAGTC